CCGGTTCCACATGCGAGTAGCCGGTGAAGTCGGGGTACTGCGGGGGCCCCGGGGGTGGGGGCCCGTAGGCTTGCGGGCCCAGGCCCAGACTCGGGGGCCTGGCGGGGCGGGGTACACGGGAGAGTCCTTGTCCAGCACATAGCCCACGTACATGGTGGCCGCAGGGACCCCCCGCGCATGCTGGGCCCGGGAGCCGCCGCTGCGGCCCGCCCCGGCGAGCACAAGCTCACCTGAACTCGCCGCCCGCGGCCGGCGCCCACCCAGCCTTTTATTAGCCCGGGCCCGCGGCCCCAGCTGGGGCGGGTTTGCATTTCAAAGCGGGGGGAGCCTAAGGGCCGCGAATCAAAGGGGGAAACCCGTCGGGGGCGGGGGGTTCAAAAGGAGACAAATTGCCACCCCAAGCGGGAGGTGGACGGGCCGGGGCCTGAAGAGGTGGGGACGCGGAGGCGCCTCCCGGGCCCGCGTCGAGGCGCGCGAAGTGGAGGAGCCTCCGGAGGGGCCGGCGGCCCAGCGGCTGGCCCGGCACCTCCATCTCCCCGAGGAGGACAGGGATCCGGGGCTGCACGGGGACTCCAGGCCGGGGGCACACAGCCACCAGGCCTGCGGCACACTCCGCAGTGACCAGCCCGAGGGGAGGGCGCAACCTGACTTCAAACAGGGCTCCTGTCTGGAAGGTAGTGGAATTCTTCATCTTTTGGGGGCAGGGGTCACGACCCTTCTGAGTCTCCGATGAAAGCTGTGGATGTTTTTGCCGGGAAAATGCACATATGCACATACACAAGTTCTTTCAAGAGGTGGGGTAGGGGCATCTTGGGGAGGGACGTTCTAAGGAACTTGTCACAATTCTCTTGGCGATCCCCTGCCCCCTTTGTTTTAATGAGAGGTTACGCGAAGGAACGTAGAATTGTATAGTGAACCGCTAGATACCCGTCACCCAGCTTCAGCCATTATCAAGATTCCTTTCATCTCCTCCCCTTCTTTTTTTGCTAACGTATTTTAAAACAAATTTTAAACAGCCTGTCATTTTACCCCCACACACTTCAGCCTGCAACACATGGGCATTTTCTTACATAATTTGCCATTGTCACATCTAATAAAATTAACACAAACTCCTGGGTATTATCTAGCACCCACCACTCCCAGACTGGCAAGCATTTCACCGCAACCCAAGTGGAGGGCCGGGTGGGCAGTTGAGGGGCCATGAGTGAGCTGGGAGTGGGGAACAAGGCTGAGGGATCGGAGGAAGAACTCCTGAGGGGCAGGGCTTTGGGTCGGAAAGGCTGCGGAAGGAGGGTCAGAGCCAAGGAGCTGCTCAGAAGCCCCCTATGGGGTTTGACCTCTGACATTTCTTGGGGCCCCCAAATGTGCAGGGACATGTGGCCCCCAGAAGTAGACAGAATGAGACAGAGTCTTATCTATGCAGCCTGTCTCTCCCCTGAGTCACCACATGGGCCCGGGGCAGGTCGACATATCTCAGGGCTAGACAGACTGTCAGGATAAGGACACCATTGACGGGGCCCAGTGAAAAGTGACAATGTGAGGTCCCGCATTCAAAAATTATTAAGGGGGAGAGATCAACCAAAGGACTTGTATGCATGCATATAAGCCTAACCAATGGACACAGACACCAGGGCAGTGAGGGCATGAGTGGGGGTGTGTGTGGGGGAATAAGGGGGGGATAAGGACACATATGTAATACCTTAATCAATAAAAAAAATTATAAAAAAAAGAAAGAAAAAATTATTAAGAATTTCAAGATGGCAACGGCAGAGAGTTCAACCAAGCATAGGGCCCTTCTAAACACGGGGCCCTGTGTGACTGCACAGGTGACCCACCCATGAAGCTCGCCCCAGTCAGGATCTTGTTCTTCTGGGGCTCTGATGGACACAGAGCAGGGACAGTAGGCCCAGGGCTCCCCTTCCTGCTCAGAGGAACTCTTCCCATTATACAGGTGGAAACACTGAGGTCTAGAAAGGAAAGAGGCTGTGCCCAAGTTTATGCGCTAAAACGA